TAACTAAGTAACACATTTTTCAACCCGTAAGAATTACCCCCAAGAGCAGAAGCAAAAATAGCTTGTCTCAATTCCTCTGCACTGTACAAAATAAATATTTTATAAATGAATAATAAACCCAGAAAAACGTAACTTCAACATTTTAAATGGTTATTATGAATAAATGTGACTAAACAGAAAAGCTTAGAACTAATTAAAAGGTGTGCAGCCATGTCCCCTTAAGAAATATTATCTGTCATCCAACCCCATATGTCTCCAAGACAAGACAGAAACAGCAAGAGTGCTAAAGTGAAATCAGCAGGCAAAAAAGACACAACTGAGTGCAATCAGCATAAATGGTGATAACTCAACCCATAACAGAGAAAAATAAAAGAGAAGGCGTACAGATTTTGAAGAGCGTCAGCCCTGAGGGACACCATAACACACCTGTGTTAATAAGTTAGAGAACAAAGGATGTGCTTTAACTGGCTAGCACCTGACAGCTGAGAAGCAAGTTGAGAATGTGTGATTTTCAGAGAGTAAAAGGGTAAAGATGCTTGGAGTATGCAGGGTTCCAGTTGCTCCTGGCCTTAGTGGAACTGCTATGGATTTTTTGCAAGGAGGTAGAACAGGGTGGCATGAAAAGCAAAGTTCTGCATAGTAGTAAAATATTTCCTCCATTAAGAATTAGTATCCACTGAGGTGCCTGTGGCACATTCACCAAAAATTCAAAGTCTTAGTAAAGAAAAGTCACTCCTTTCTCTGGTGGCCTAGGCAAAATTGCTCAAATAAAAGGAACACACCAAAACTCTTCTGGCATAAACTGGTGTAGTTTAGTACAGTGGAATTATTTTGAACTACAATAACTTTGCCCAAAACTTTTAAAGATTTCAGTCTTATCAAGCAACTTGAGTAAAAGTGCAGAAAAAATAGAAATAACCACAACAAACTTCAGTCAGATTGACAGACTTTGGGTTGATTGGTGCCTTATTCCTTGGTGTCTTATGTAGCTATGTCCACCCCATGAAAATAGATAAAGCAACCAACTGAGGGATTTCTAAGCTCTAAATTCTGTCAATCTACTTTTGTATCACTTTGTACTGGTGTGAATAGTTATCAAAGCTGCTGATCCATTAAAAATTAAACCAATAATCTTGCCTTTAATAAAAAGGTGCCTTTGTCTTGCCACCATCAGAAAAGGTATGTGTGAAATCCTTTAAAGTTACAATGAGAATAACAATGATGTCATCTTTTCCTGTAGCACTTTGACAGCCAAAATGGTTCTGCTATAACTACAGTCAAGATAAGGCATCTAAAAGGATGGTCTACATTGAAGACCATCAGGATTAAAGCACAGGCACAGTCCCAACTAAAGCTCCCTGTGCCATCATATATCAATTTTGCAATTAGATAGCTAATTGAACTTACTCCGGAGCCAAGTTATTGAAACTCCAAAGCATTATTAATAAAACAAAAGTAATTAACGTAATAAATACCTTGCCTGTGCTCTAGGTACAAAACATTTTACATATTTTCAGGTTTTTTCAAAAGAAAAGAGATTACTTCTATTATTTTCTGATGGACTAAAAATTTATTTAACAATTGTTGAAGGATTTTTGAAGGCTGAAATCCTCCAGCAAACCATAGACTGTGCTGACAGTGATGGTAACACAGCTGAAAAATACATCCTTATTGGAGCACATAGAATTTTCTTTGACTACCACAATAAAAACAAAGCTGTTGTGCATGTATGTAAACTTCCCAGAATAAAAAGAGCAGAGCCCTGCTCATGTTCTTCTAAGGCACTTCTAGTACATTCTCTCAAATCAAAAAAGTACTTTTAGATTGTAATCTCTCAAATTTCTGGTTGCAATCAGAGGCAGTAAAGAATTTTTTTAAAAAGTAAGAAGTTTTGAAAAAAGGTAGAGTATCACAAGATGAAATAGTCTCACTCAAGAAAAAGCCCTGCACTTTGCTCTAAACAAAAATGAAATTGATAAAGAATCAAAATTGGAAGTATAAATAATTTCAGTTATTGATTTCTATTCTAGCAATTGATTTGATTGTAAGCATATTTATTCTTTGCTATTAATATGGAAGAATATCTTATTCCTTTTTTTAAGATCACAATTGAAATGCTGAATGTCAAAACTTCATTTTCTACCGGAAGTGCCTTCAGAAAACATACAGACACTAGGTAATAATTTAATTATTCCTGTTTCCAATGCAAATAAGAAATATTGAAAAAAACTGACTAAAAATATAATTGTAAAATCCAGGAAATATATATTTAAAAGTCTGATTGAAATAAATGTAAATTGTGCTTTTTTTTTTTTTTTTGGTAAATCTTTTCATGTCATTAAACAGTATTGGTGTTGAAGAGTAATGATGAAACCTCTGGTCAAATCTGTCTTCTATTCTGAGGCAGCTCTTTATTTTCACATCACAGTTCTCCCAAAACACAGCTGCTGGGTATAACTGGAGGGTGTTGGTATTTAAAAAGCACTTGGTGAAAAGGCTGAAACCTCCTCCATTATCTACTTTTAACTCTCTTTTTGGATCTCACCCAGGTCACGGCTTCTGTAAAATATTAGAAAACACTTAGGCAGCCAATGTACTGTATCTACTGCCTCTACTAATGCACTCTTCCTCTGTCATTCACCTGCTCCTGATTGCTCTGGTCAAGGAAATGCTGGGACAGAAGCTCTGATGGGAGGAAGGAATCACTGTTTTGCCACGCACTTCTCTGTGCAGCATGTTCTCGTCATCATACTTTAATGTAAGAGGGTCACTAGGAAAAACAACAAACTTGGGATATTTCTGGCTGAGAGAAAAGAAAGGGAGAAGAACAACTCACAGATTTTATTTTGGACGTTGAGTGCCTCTAGGTTAATGTCATCAATAAGAGAACTTAATTGGCAGAAGAATAGATTGATCTGACAATAACACAGATTTACAAAGACACCAGTCCGTATATAATTAAGCAACTTCCAAGACCTTTGAAATATAAAACCAGAAGATTGCTGAAGGGAAGTCCTCTCTTCTACACCTTGGTAATTGCTCTTAACTGAACTTCTTCAGTTTCAATATTACGTTTCTTCCTTGATCATTATTTTAATTATAAGTTGTCATCAGACAAACCACATAGAAACATAGCAAGGATATCAGAATACCAGAAAAAGGGTCAGAATATCAGAAAACTATGTAATGGATAGGGAAAACAGAGAGGGAACAGAACATTTTCCACTCTTTGAACAAGACATTGTCACTGGTAGTTCTGAGCTACTCAGGTCTGAACACCCCCAAATGGTGCTGTGTCTTACACCTAAAAGCTTAGTTTAGGCCTGTTTCCAGCTAGTTGAGTTATTCTGAGTGGCAAGATTTACTGGCACAGGTTCTCAGCAGGGACAGCATGCATGGAAAAATGTGTGCTAAGGTGAAGGTTTTCTGACACACTGATCCATTGTTGCAAGGACTGACTCTTGACAAAGGAGTTCCAACGCAGATCAGGTTTGCAGAACAGCTATTAAAATATTGCAGAACATTAGATTAATGCTAAGATTTGTTTGTGAGAAACCATCTGCCACCTGTGGTTTCTATGTCACCCCTATTTCTCATGAGCTTTGGGATGCCCACAGGTCACCTCTGGTCTCCTACTCACACAGGAGAGAACAGAAATCATCTGAGAAATCCCCTCTGCAAAAACCAAAAGGAAGCCTTTCCAGTTTTACAAATGCTAAATGTGGAATTTGAATGAAAAAAATGTTTTCACTGGCATAGAGGTCAGTGCAATATTTGGCATATACAACGACCCCAAAATTCCACAGAATTTCATAAAAGAGTATCAAAAACCTTTACAAAAGTATAAAATTTGATTATATTTTATAATAATTATTTAGATAAAATTATTGCTTTTGATATGATTGGGATTTTCTAAATCTCTTACGTAAGTAGAGCATACATAGTACAACATATATGATTCCATAGAACAAATATGGAAATTTGGAATTTTAAAATAAAAATCCTCTTAGTGAGACACTGGAAACAGATCATTATGCTGATGCAACTTAATGGAATTCTAGAAGTTATTCAAGTTAAATTTTACTTTAATTCATCAGATAATAAGTGTGAAGTGTAATTACATAATATTAAAATGCAATAAAATTGTTTTTACAATCACAAAACTAAGCTTAACTGTTAAAAATTAGACAACAGAGATGGCAAGAATATGCTGCACTAAAGCTGCACCAGCAATGCAACTTCTTTTGCAAGGAATAAGTCTGAAGAAATATTTCACTTAAGTCTTTTAAAAACCCTTCACAAATGCCATCTGGTTATGGCCATTAACTATAGGAAGAGATTGAAAGGAGTGGCTTTACAGAAATATAAATAAGATACCATAGCATGAGACAAAAATAACACAAGCATTCAAACTATACTGTATAGTAGTTATTTTCCCTGATAAATATATTTATCTGGGGAACAAGACATAAAATGATAAACCATACATCGTTGGAAACCATTTTTAAATCTAATATCTCCACAATGTTGCTTTTTTGCAAATAAGGGAAAATTATTGTATAACTGAGTTAGGAAAGTGCAATACTTCTTAAAAATAGTCCTCTTCTAAAGATATTAAATACGAATGCAGTGAAAATGACAATAGTGTTTACCACGGAAATAATATTTGCACGAAACAGGACACAATAACATCTTCTAAAACAACTGAGCAGCAATAGCAGTGCCACTCTGCGTTTCAAATATTTATATTCAATGTATTTATAATAATCTTCTCAAAGGTTTGTGAGAAATAAATCTAATCTCCCCCTCTTTTTTCAATCTATGCATGGTATATGTGCTAACTTACTGAATTCATCCTTCATGCAATTCCAGTTTATTAAAGAGGTTAAAAATTTATAAAACTCTGATGGGATATGGTTTTAATGCTTCATCACACTACCCATCATTTGCTTTTCAATCTAGATCAGAATGATCTTTCCGACTTCCCTGCAATCACCTACCTGCACAGCTAATATTTTCTGAGCGTTCTCCTGAGAGGCTGCCTGGATCCTCGCCAGCCCAGCCTGGCTGGGGAGGCCTCGCTGGAGAGGCTCCACCATTCCCAGCTCCATTGCCCCTGCAGCTGGGATGGCCACGCCAGCAGCCACAGCACCACTGCAACCCCAATGGCCACGGGCACAGCTACAACGGGGGTCGGGGTGGGGGGCACAGGCAAGCAGGCAGGTGGGGAGAGGAAGGAGGGGGGGGAAAAAAAAACAACCCAACCCAACAGGAAAAAAAATATTAAATTCCCAAGTCAGAGCAGGAGAGGAAATTAATGGCAGCGTTCAAGAAGAATGATGGAGGGAAATATAGAAAGCAGTCAATAGCCCATTCTGCGCTGTACGGACCTGACAGGAATTTCACAGTCTCTTGGTTTTTCAGCCCACTCATGTGCATTCATCAGAAACCAGTCACATCTGGCTGCCAGGATGGGGGGTTAATTTTCTCTAAATGCCTCAGCAGTTTTGTTCTAGCTGAGGCAAACTCTGTGACTGCAAAGCTGATGAGTAAAATATTTCTACTTCACCCAGTTTAACTCAAAACCGATAGCCTCGGGACATATTGAACCTTTCTTAAAAAAATAATCTTTTGAAGCTTTTTGAATGGCACATCAGGTCAGGCCAAAGTTTAAAATACAAGTTTAAGACTTTGATGGACACAAGGGCTTTTTTTTTTCCCCCCGTGTAAAGCTTATCATAGCTTGGCAATGTGTGCTTTAGTGCATGACAAAACTAAAGAGAATTAACTTAGCCATCAACTGCTCAGGGAGAACAATAACAGGAAAGAAATTTCCATATAGAAGTTCCTATTAATCTACCCAGCTATAACCACATGACATGAAAGCATCTAACAGCACTAAATTGCACCAAATGTGGTGGCTGAGAGTGACACTACTTAAAATGAGGATTTTATATCAACATATAGAAAAGATAATGCTTATCCTAGGAATCGCATTCGGTGCAAAGGATCCTAAGTGAACTGATTCCAAGTGGGAGTACTTACCTGAAGGCTTTCACTTCTGGTTAACAGTAGTGCTTGTTACAATCCACAGTTAAGAATAGAATCAGTTTTTCCTTTATCTGCAAGTATTTGGAGCACATAAGTGTTGTGTGCCACGTCTCAGTCTAGAACAAAAATGTTTTAAAGAGATCTGAAAATCTACCAACAGAGAATGGTTTTGAAAACAGCTGTGGGTTTTGGCAAATTCTGCAAATGCTGCTGCATACTCTAGACTAGTTGTAATTTAGAAAATGGACATTGAAACCACATAATTCATTGCTTAGTGGAAATACACTGGTTTGTGTTTCATCAAGTTAATTATTTCGATAAATTCCGTAGCTATTGTTATCATGAAGCCTTCAAGAGGATGCCTGTCAACCAGATTAACACAATGGATTGTACCACTCCTTTGGAAATATTACATTTCATTAAGGTCAATGCCACAGGTCAATAATTGGATCAGTTATAAAGAAGCTTTTACATTATAAGATATGACTGCTCTTTAGGAGCAAGCGCAGCATACCAGGTGAAAAATACACTTTTTCAAAATAATGTAGATTATAGTAATATCAAGTGTGCTATTACAGCCTAGAGAGTAATTAATGCATATTTTCAAAATTAATGGTCTGCTTTTTGGAGATATCAGGTTTCCACAAGTCCCATTAGATTCCATAGAAGCTCTGAGTATGCTGTGTCTTTATAAGTGAGGCTGTAAAATATTAAAGAAGATCCTTGTACATAGTATTTTGTGTTCTGCCTTTGTATAATAAAAATAACATGAGGGAAGGTAGACAAACTCAATGGAAAAAAAAATCCAGCCAGAATCACAGCCAAAACCTCAACCCAAATAGTACATTTTCCAGTTTGAAGAGCCTTTTCTAGTACTGAAGCTTCTTCCTGTCTATTTTAAAAATTACTTTGTTTCCTGAAATCTGTCTCTTCCTGCCTGTCTCCTGTTACTTTAACTATTTTCAAATCTCATTTTTTTCTCATACTCCTCTGAAGTCTGAAAAAGAATGCAGGTGAGAGAGGGGCAAAATACAAGAACTTAGGATATATTAATAAAAGAACCTGCTTCAGGCCTGGAAAAAAATGAAGTAGAAAACTATTTTTGGATTATCAAAATAATGATTTTGTAAAAAAGTTAAAATAATTGCAAGATATGTTGCATTGTTATATAAGGAAAATGGTGGTTGGGGAAGCATATGAAAGGATTTGACTGTAAACAGTGAAAGGGATTGGTGGTTATTGAGTTTGGTGGCTATCCAATTTCCTGTATTGAGAGAATTAAAAGACATTCAAATGTTTTGAAGTTTAACTATATGAAAATGTCTATATTTATTGAGAAACTTACAGTTTATAATGGCTGTTGTCTAGTACAACCTTTGCTAATGTTTCTTATTCCAAAATTACAAGTCCATAATAGATGATGCTATTATGCATCATATTTTGAAATGCATCTCATATTTTGAAAACATTTTATTGTGCCTAACCTAATTGAGCCAAACCCAAATACTTATAATTTTACAATATTAATTGCAATATAAGTAACATTTATGCATGTGGTCAGAAATACAGGTTTGTGGGAAAGTAGAAACTTGATCACATAATGTTGCCTGCAATCTTAGAATAAACTGATGGACTCACTAACCTAGGAGGGCCCAAGTGAATTCCTGAGTCAACAGCAGAGCTCTAGCTGAGGGAATGGTTCAAAAAATAAAAATCTCAAGTAACTTAGCTAAAGAGCACTTCTAACCCCAAAGCAGATTTCATAGGCTTTGTCGTGATCTCCCTGTCCCTGCAGGCACCAATACTGTTCCGGCAGGTGTTTTTCTTGGTCATATAACAGACATATATTTATTAGCTTTTCCTGATATTTTTTTTTTTCAGACATGGAAACTTACAAAGGCACGGCATGCATGAGTTAAATACATGGCATTGTTTCTTGCTCCTTTGATTTTCAATGCTGTGTTTCTTAGTATTCTGAACATATTGAGACAAGTGCTGGTAGAGAAGGTAACAACATCCATCTCCAATGGCCAAGGTGTAGGGATATGTACAGTAGCCAAATATTTATGTGAAATTCACTTTGGTTTTGATGTTTGCTTTGCTGTGAGAGCAGGACTGAAGGAAAAAGACAAGCAAACTCCAGATTTTGGAGATTCAAAAGGAAATGAAAACCCAGGATTCCTGTTTGTGACATTCTTGAATCTGCCATGGCTGCAGCTGATACAGGTGGAGCTGACACAGGAGTGCTTGCTAATTTTTGCAGCAGTCTTCTCCTAGTCCTCATCCTGAAAACAAGGAAACAGTAAGCCAATGGCTTTGCTGGAGTGACACCTTTGGGAGCTGCTGGGGTGGATAAATGATCTCATGGAGTTGCCCTGGCCATTCTCCTGCTTTGGGGCTTCACTATCATTCCTCTGGTGTCGTGGCTCCCCTCTGTGACTCACAGCAGAGGGCACCATATGACTCCATAATTACTTGATTCCTGCTTTACACCTGGCACTAATATCACCAATAAATCAGCATAAATCTGGGAGAAGGATGCATGAACTATCGGGCATTACTGTCTTACTAAAGAGGAACCTTATGATTCAGGGTACCTTAATCTGCTCTCACCTTAAAATTTTGAGTTATGATAAATCTAGATACTTCATTCAATCCATATTACTTGCAGTAATATGAATGAAAAAAAGCTAATATTTTATCCTGTAATTTCTTATTTAAGGTATCAAACGGGATTAAAAAGTATAATACTACTTGAAGCTCAGGCCTATTCAAGCCTAATTCATTATTCCAGTGGCAATATTTCTAGGTCCTTATTTATTAATGTTTCCACTATACTTGGACTCTCTATATTGCAAACAAAGTTAAACTGAAAGAAAATCCCAAACATGAAGAAGTAACTACATCTTATTTTGACCAGAACTTTTTAGAATTTTGTTGCCTGGTGGTTCACAAGAACCCAAAATTTTCACCTGCTTGTCTTTTATTAGCTATATAGCACTAAGACAAAACTGATTGCAGAGATATTTGACAATGAACCCAAAGTTAGGGGTTCTTACTTGTTTAAACACCAAATAGCAAATGGTCCCATTAAGAACACAAAGTGAACAGAGCCTGGAACTCATTCATAATGCTTTTTCTCAGTCAATAACATATGATTTGGACTGCTGCAATTACCAGTTCTGGACAGTGATGGCATGCTAGTATCACATTGGGTTATGATTGTAAATATATTTCTCCTCTTAGTTGTTTTTAAATAGTGAGATTCAGTTGATCTGAATACAAGTGTTTCTCTTTTACCCCTGATAATGAGAAGATTCTCTATGAATAAAATGTTATTTTATCTTACAAAATTATTCTTAATATAAATGCTTTCTGCATTTGGAATACATACTTATATATGAGATGTCTGATCCGTTAAAATGGTCAGATTCTGGGTCATACAGAAAATTGTACATAATAACATAGGTGAAACTATTATTCTCAAAAAGAAAAAGCCTATCTCGAAAGAAAATTCTCCTTAATTTTTGCCAAACTTTATACATTTTATCTAAAAGTGCGGCAGGTGTTTGCCCCAGGCTGAATTTGTTTGGATAGCCCAAGCAGTTTGCTTTTCTTTTTTTTTTTTTTTTAGGAATTCTAGGCATAATACATTATTGTGCTGTTATATTTGCTACCAAATTATACTGGTATTTCCTTTACTAGACCGAGTTTGCAAAGGGAACTCGCATTTTAGAGGGGACAGCATTTTGTTTTGCTATATGGCTTTTTCATAACTATATTCTGGTAAAAACTGTAAGTCGTTGGAAAAGTATTGTCTGCATATAGTCATGAGCGATAAAAATGGGAACAGTTTTAAAAAACATATTGTCCTCTGTGAGCATTCTTGACCTTCTCAGTGGTCCTACAACTGTTCTGATTACGCACCAATATTGCTAAGCAAGTAAGAATGTTTACTGCTGTGTAACTCTGCCTTGTACATAAACCATCTCCACAGAGTGGTTTGTCATACATTCGATCAGGAGTACAGCACTGAGATTTGATTGTTGTCTATAATTAGATTGTTATTTTGGTCTTGGATGGAATTCATTACTGACAGCAATGTGCCTATCTGCATACCAGCAGAAATATCCATCTATTGGTGCACAGAAAACCTAGAGAAACAAGTCTTTGCAAAAATTGGATGGTTTCTTCAGAGCAAACTGTGAAGTTCGTGCTAAGGATACCAAATTGTGATTAAGAAATCCAATTGTTGATGAAAACTGGTGCAATTCTAACCATTATAGTTTAATCTAGGTTTTCTATAGGTATGCTGGAATACAATATCAAACAAGGCAATCCAAACCTAGACCATAAGATCCACACGGATCCTTTCCCAGTGCAATAATATTTTGCTGGAAGAAGAACTGGTTTTGTGGGAATTTTTTCAGTACCAACTGAAATTTCCTTTTCCTTTCCTGAATTTTCTTTCAGAAACAGCCTGAAAAGTAGAAACCAAACTCAGCTACATGGCTCAAGGAATTGAAATTTCTCTGATTACAGAGACTTTGAGATATAATTGTGATGAAAAAAGGGTGATTCCAGACTAAAAAGAATCCAAGTAAATGCAAATTAAAACATTTAAAAGAACGAGTAGCTGGGAATGGTGCAGTTACACTAGGTCTATGGATCTTCTTACCAAGTGATTAAAACCATTCGTGAATATTAAAATTAAGAAATGGACTTAGCATCAGCAAGAATGGAAAAATGCATGTAGCTGAGGCAGATGAGAGAAACAGATGGGCAGAGCACTTCCAAGAAGTCTCACTAGACTCAGCCCACTATCTATACAATATTTTGATGAAATATTATTAACCTAAGCCATTTAGCATTAACAATAACCAATTGAGATGTCAGCAATAAACACAACAATCCAGAAGCTAAAAAGTGTCAAAGGAGAGAGCAAAAGTCATTGTCACAGAGAATATTATTGGGTAGGATACATCCAGGATACAATATGTAAGCTCATAGGATTATTCTGAAAAAAATATAAAAATTCCTGTCCCTCCTGCAAGAGAAATAATTTTCAAAATAATATTATACAGGATGTGAGATAATGTTGGGCAGAAATCTCAGTAAACAGTAGGCTGGATTTAGCTGAGGTGAACATGAGTGACCTAGAGACAGTTATGGTAAGTACCATCATAAAAGTACATCATCAGTTTTCAAAAACAGTGGAAAAGCTTAATGTATAGTCTTATACTGAGTCTGAAACCAGGTTTACTCTTTGAAGAAGACATAGAATGGAAGACAAAGTACACTTTGATATCAAGGCTCTTGGATATAGCCCTGCAGTAACGTATTATGTTCATATCTCTGCCACACTGTACCCTTGCCATGTCAACTAAACAATTTAAACTCAGTTTTCCAGAGAAAAATGGGAATTTTATCCTCTTTTTTGTTGTTGGTTTTGGGAATCTGATTTAAATTTATAATTTTTAGAGATAATTGGGAATTGCAGGTTCAACAAAAAGTAGCAGGGAGATTTGGAATCATAGTGTGCCATGAAAAAGGTGTGTGGCTGAAAATAATGTTTCCAGGGATAGACTTTTAGGCTACTGATTGCTATGTTAAGCAGCTAAACCCATAGTTATTTTACGATGTTGACTGTACAGGAAACTAGGATTATTTTGCTGAATTGTTTTATTAAAACACAACTCTGTTTTACATGCAGTGACTATAACCCATTTAATTCCACTCCTGATTGACACTGATATAACTGACCTTCTGGATTCTACATAACATCATTCTGTAATTCTGCAGGAGTCCCTCTTGAGACATCAGTTTTTTGCAAAATGTAGCAGACCAAAATACAACTAACAGAACAAGCACTAGCTACTACTCACTGCTATCAGTAGTAGCCTACTATGGCTTTCAGATCTAAGCAAATTAGAGTTACATGTTGAACAGAGACTCACAAGTCACTTCTAAATCTACACGTTCCCTATTTCCTATGATACTAATCTGATATCAGAGGATCCAATGTGTGTGTCATATTAATTCAACAGTGCACTGTGAATGCTAAATGCTATGTAAATGACATAAGCCTTATCAGTTCCATTCATTGTTACAACTCAAACAACGGCAATTACAACAACTCTACAGGTTTTGGCACTGTAAGAATGGCAGCTTTATTAGCAAAATCCATTTAATATTTATCTTTTTATACTCGTCCACTACCAAGTTACACCTGTGCAATATACAAAGCTCCTAGGTAATGAGATATTTCTTTATTGTCAAATCTGCTCCACAGACTGCTGGTAAAGATTACATAGTTAATTTAAATAAAGCTCTTTTGTCAACAGGCCGGATATACTTTAAAAATGAGTGAAAGCCTTATAAAAAAAACAAATCTCAGCTGATGTGCAAGTATACACGGAAAGATGCACTTGTTTTTTTGACTTTATTCCAGCTGTTAATGCTTTAGTAAGCAGATTAGCAGTATTACATTTTAAAAAAGGAAAATTGTATTTCAAGATCCACTGAAAAACAAACTAAGAAAAGTCTGAAAAATCAGAGTACAATCTTCTACTAAAAATATTAGTGAATGCAGAAAAAACATTGACTAATGGAGTAAGAAGAAAATGAAAGAGTGTTGTTGTGATCTTTGCTGTTGGGAAAAATGAAGAAATTAGACAATAGAGTAAGATCAAGGTTTCTTTCTTTATATTGTGGCTGCTACTGAAATATCAATATGAAGATTGAAAGTGTGGTTTCTATATAGGATTCTTAAAAACGTAGCCTAGAGTTTGATACTGAGTCGGTATAGAATATGTGTGATTTTATTCTTTCCTCAAAGATTTCTCTACTTGCCTGTTTCTACTGCTAGAGAAGGAAAATATATCTGTACTTATCATCTCTTTATATAATTTAGTAACACTTAGAATCAAATACTGTTGTTTCATTCCCCACGAGCCTGAAGCAATGAATGGAAACATCTTGAAAAGTTGCAGATTATTGCACTTACTCCAAACCGAAGGTTTTATTTTTTAGAATTCTTTAAATTTTTTATTGCGTCCTAAACTCGGATCTGCAGAAGCTTACAACTTTTTCCAACTTTTGTTTGGCATTTGCACAAAGCCTTTATAGGAACAGTTCAGAGAGCAGAAGCTGAAATGTCAAAACACTGCAAGTAGAGAAGATTGCTCCAAAGAAATTTCTGACCTTGCCATTAATTTCTTCTGTTAAAGCAGTCATAAGCCCTTTTACATTCCTTTTACAGATTCTGCTGCTTACTCGGCAGAAATTGCACAATAAAATGCTATATCTCATCCTTTGTCCCCTCCTAAAGGATTTTTGGAGTATAATTGGTAACATATTTTTCAAGAAGTAAACTAGGTCTCTTTTGGCATGTAGTGTTTTTGACAGCTTTTTTTCATGAGCTTACCCTTTTAAAACTAACACTAATAAACAAACTTTAATAGGAATATATTACACTACTTCCCCAAACAATTTAATGATGAGGTCTAAGATTGGATTCGTCTTTGTGAAGGGTGAATTTTTACCTTCTTTGCTACCTTTGAAACACATTAAGATTAATTATCAAAATGTCCTTCATTTGTATTTCAAAATAGAGAGATAGCACCCTGCCTGTCTTGACTAAGGCATATCAAATTATTATGATGATAAACATTTATATTTAGCTGTTGCTTCCGATCCATATAAAGTGAATTGGAAGCAACTACATTCTTGATCGTTGCAGAGCAGTAAAATGAAATTCAAAAGAACACATTTTGTCTTTTTCTGGGTAACACATACATTTAGTAGTTATCCCTTATAACTTCATGAAAATTCAAGGATCATAAATGAAGCCCAACTTGCTCCATGGCCAGAAGTGAGCTTGTAGTCACCATAGAGTACTGCCATTCCATTTGTGTTTCTGGGCCCTTGGCACCTGGCAGTGATGTCAGTCACTAACTTATCCCTAGGTTTTGTGCAGTAACACCATGCATTACATACATACAGATCATACAGTGGGCCATGCTGCAGCTGCACATATCCCTGGATGCTTGGCTGAATCCCCACCAGCATCCCTTTTTCCATGATAGAAAATGAATTTCTGGCTAACCAATTCAAGAATGACACAGCCTTCAGTTGCACAGGGATCTCCCATGTGCATTTGCACAATGCAGGACCCAGCCAGCAAAAGCAGCCCAGGGGCTGGGGATTCTGTAGGGCCAACTTGTGCACAGAGAGGTAAGTGTGCTTCCTGGAAGGCAATGAATCAATCAGGAGAACAGCTGGCCAATTAAGATGTGCATAACTTCTTGCCAGATGTTACCTTTGTGCTGATGGCTGACTGCATCTTAGAGATGCACATTGTTTCTCAGCCCCTGGGGCTACTTTCCTTTCGTTAAATAAACAGAGCCAGGAACCACTTTGTGTCAGTAAGGCTGAGAGGTGCAGGCAGGTTTTGCCCACACTGTGTACTCCACTGCCACTTCTCAGCCTTGTGCGATGACCTCACTGCCCTAAGACACAAATTATTTTAGGGGTCAGAGGGGTTAACATGTGAATGACTGAATTAATGTAAACTTCAAGCTTCAGCCTATGAAGATGAAACATAGGCTAGGTGCATACCCTAGGACACTGCAAGGCCTCTTGGAATAGTGGTGGAGGACTGTATGGTGTTGAGGGAATTAAAACTGGTGCTGTCCTGTTCACATTCTCTGCTTGAGGCAGAGCTTGATGCCTGCTGTTCCTCCCATTGTGTCAGGCTTTCTTTTGGAAAGTGCTGACTAGCATAAGGCAAAACAGCACCATGTTGTACCATAAATATGCAGCATGGAGTGCTAGGGAGCAGGTCAAGCTGGATCCCTAATCCCCTTATTTTGCAGACTAGGTGTAGCCTTCACTGCCAAAAGTATACTGACATTCCTTTTTGAATTGTCTTGGAAGAGCCAAATAAACACATGCTCTTCATAAACAATAAGCACTGAATTAATAAATAAGAAGAATTAATGGGCAGGAAGGGATTAGGAAGGGATTGTGAAGGCTGAAGGGGGTCCAGCTTCCACAAGAAAAGGAAAATGTCTGTGGCTACAATGTCTTACAGTGGGTCAGATTAGGACCTATGCTGTGATGGAAAAAGGGATATCTTGAGAGTCATAAACTGAACTTGACATCTTTTGTCTAAGCAAACACCTTTTTTTTTCTTTTCTAGAACCAGCAATTAGATTTCATAAATCTGATGAAAATTCTTCATCCTAGTCACCCCCTTTCTGATTTTGAGTCTAATTTACATCTTTAGGCTAAACAGCTGTTTTCCTTCTTGCTCACCTCAGAGGTAAACATAAAGCGACAGTATGTCCTTCTTGCTTAGTAAACATAATATTTTGAGGTTTACAAAGACTCAGATCCCAATGCCCACCACATCTACACATCAGCTTCTTGGTACAGTCATTTATTGTCTGAGATTCTTGGTTGTATTCTCACAGAGACCTCTAAGGAGCTACTTATTTCACTGATCTGAGAACATAGCACTCAGACAGGCAGTCCTGTATTTTCCAACCCCCATTATCTGCCTGTCTTCAGAAAGGATGGGTATTGTATTTTAAAAATTAATATTACAGGGAAGGGAGAAATTAAAATGATACTCACAGAATATAGTTTACAATTAGTTAGATACTTAGCTTTAGTCTGGCATAATATGTATGATATTAACTAGCCATCAAGATAATTGGAATAAAATATTTGACAGAGCCCTTTGTCCTCAGAAGGACTTAGGCATTCAGCCACATTTCTGCAGGAAGTACAATGTGAGCAGAAGGAAAAGGCTAAATGAAGTCGTACACTGTCAGTAATTAAACCCTTCACTGACTACTCTAAGTCATTCATACAAAAGGATTACATTATACGAAATGCCACAGGTGTGATGTTGGTTGGGACCTAACATAAAGGAGAAGTTTGAATAGTATTCCCAAAACATTGTTCCATTGTACATCCTTCTTAAAGTTCTGAAAAGAAGAAAGATGAAGAAAATTAAGAACAAGAATCAGAACAAGAAATAAGAAAGCATGTGTCTCAGAAGGCAGGAATTAGAATTCTTTACCTTGCAGGTAAAGAATTTCAATCTACAATATTCCCACCTTAACATTTCCTAAAAATCTCCAAACAAAATATGGAAAAAATACTACTGGAAAAACTCCCAACTACATTATTTGTGTTTAGTTTTTGAAGAGTTTGAGCAACCAAACAAACAAAAAGTTGCTTCACTAGTGTTTTTCTACCTGCTCTTCTGTACAGTATCTTCCAGCCTTCAAATTTAAACAGTTCAGTCAAGTAAGCAATTAGTTTGCAATAGTATTTGCAGTTTGAATTTCAAAGCATATTCTGTGTCTCTTCTAGTGTCTGCTTGCTGTGTTGGGTTTGCATGGCAAGCTTTGGTCACGAGTTTTGGTGGGTGTGGCTTCTATGGGAAGCTTCCCCATGTTCAGCAGAACTACAAGAGAAGAGAGGAGTGAGAGTATGTGAGAAGAACAACCTGCATACACCAGGGTTGGTGCAGAAGGAGGGACAGGAGGTGCTCCAGAAGGTGGAGCCGAGATTCCCCTGCAGCCCATGGTGATGCAGCTGTGCCCCTGCAGCCCAAGGATGTCCAGGGGGATGCAGAGATCCCCTGCAGCCCATGGATGTCCAGGGGGATGCAGAGATCCCCTGCAGCCCATGGATGTCCAGGGGGATGCAGAGATCCCCTGCAGCCCAAGGATGTCCAGGGGGATGCAGAGATCCCCTGCAGCCCATGGAGGAGCCCACACCAGAGCAGGTGGGCACCTGAGAGGAATCTGTGAAGCTGCAGGATGCCTGTGCTGGAGCAGGGTCCTGACAGGGATCTGCAGAGATGTGGAGAGAGGAGCCCATGCTGGAGCAGGTTTCCTGGCAGGACTGGTGATCCTGTGGGGGACTCACACTGGAGCAGGCTGTGCCTGAATGACTGCACCCCATGGAAAAAGTGACCCATGGTGCAGCAGTTTGTGGAAAATTGTTGCCCTTGGGATGGACTCATGCTGGAGAAGCTCACTGGGAACTGTCTCCTGTGTGAAGGGCCCCACATTGGAGCAGGGGAAGAATTAATGTCCCTGAGCAGTGACAAACTGACCATAACCCCCATTCCCTGTCTGTGCTACTGGTGTGGAGGAGGAAGAGCTGGGAAAGAGGAAGGCATGGGGGGAAGGTGGTTTTGCTTCTCCTTATCCTGCACCATTCAA